AGGTTACTCAACATGCGGACTTCCGGTCCAATTACAAGACTTTAGAAGTTGAATCAAATCAGAGGCTATTGATGCAGTAAGTATAAAAAAGAGATATGATCTTTATTAACAAGTTTCTGTTAAATATTGGTTGCTTCTGTATCATGAGTTACTCATCTAATTAATTTTTTTGTAAGCCTTTTCATAATTTTGAACTGGGTTTTTTTATTTTTTTACTGATTATAGACGCAAATGGCAGAAACCTGGTCTAAGGCCATCTGCAATAACTGACTTATTGCTTGCATGATCTCCAGACGAGTATGGCAGCAAAGACCTACATGTCTGAGGCCTATCCATTGTAGTATTCATGGTACTAAAAAGATAACACGTCGCCTTTGCCTTCTTCCTCTCTTTCTTTTCTTTTCTCCTCTCTTATGTGAGAATATACTTATATGTTCATTCAATTAATCATTCTCCTAGGGGATCAAAATCTCTTTGAAACAGTTGCAAATGTGCTTACTTCACTTCCCTTCATTGCTCTTGGAATGCAAGCCCCAAGGTACTGTGTCCTTGTAATTTGCTTTATAAGACATATAAATAATTTGTTAGTAATTGTATTTAATTTGGCTTATCACTGACCTTATTTTGGTTACAGAAAAAACTTAAATACCAAGATGTATGCTAATTCCTTAGTTGGAGTTGGAATTGCCTCAAGTTTGTATCATTCTTCTCGAGGAAAAGTAAGGAAGTATTTGAGATGGGTTGACTATACAATGATAGCCACAGCAACAGTGGTGAGTCACAACTATTTCATAATTCTCTGTAAATGATGTGCAGAAAAAAAGTTGCAAAAAAAAAAAAAGCAAAAGAATTTATGACTTTTGATGCTTGAATATGCAACATAATATCCACTGGAACTCCTAGCAAGTTGCCTGTTTCATATATCAATCCTTTGCAAATAATGCGGAAGACATTTTGTCAACTTCTCAGCATATGATAGCACGTTCACACGATATTCAATCTAGTTAAATTTGTCTTGATGTTTTCTTTATGGAACACTTAGGCAACAAGAAACAATTCCCTCTTTTGGTTGAATCTTTCTAACTCTGCAGTATGCTGAAATGTTCATATATGTCAATATGTTGAAATGTTCTGCAAATATTTGTAGAACAACATATTGCAAATTCTAACTATGAGCGGTGGTTTTCCAGAGACAAATAAGATAATAGCAATCTTTGCTTTTCCTTGCAACCATTCTTAAAATCATAGCTCCAAGTTTTTTCTTTAAAAGTCCCTCATATTCTAACTTCAATCTTAAAAGCTGCTTTTCAGTGTCTGTCTAGGGCCCTCAGAGATGAGAACCCAAAGTTTCTGATGGCAGCATCAGCACTATTCTTACCTTTTCAGCCTCTGATGGTTTCTGCTGTTCACACTGGAATGATGGAGGTAACTAGTTCCCTCTTGACATCTAAATGTGTTTGTTATTTACAAATTTGTGGTAAAAATTTGTGCGGATCTGGGAACGAAGGTTCAACAATATGGTAACTTTAATTATTATTTTTTTAGTTATTATTATATATTTTGATCAAGTTATCTATTTTTACTTATTTGTTTTATCTTTACACAAATTATTATCATTGTGGACAAAATAAAGCAAATTATACAAATCACATTTTAAATGATTTATTTCTGTTACCAATTAAAAATAATTTAATTCTATTAATTATATAAAAAATATACCCAAAAAAATGAAAGCAGCTATACTGTATATATATATACATATACACACACCAGTCATCTGTTGGTTTTCTTTTGGAGATAAACTCAACTTGTTTTGGTGTAGATTACTCATTCTATGTTCATAGTTAGCCAGTCATTTGAGATATAAAATGCTATATAATATCTGAATATTATTGAGTTCATCTGGATGGGTTTTATCTTCCAATCATGTAGACTTGAATTCAGTAGTTGGGATAGTATTATATCTGTATGCTTCCATTAAATTGATGCTGTACTTACTTTTTAAGACATCAGATATCTGCTCTGTTATCCCAGTGAGAAAGAAAGATAAATAATACCTTGCCTTGAGTTGACAAATTAGCATTAAAGTTTATTAGAATCTGTTGTAGGCAAATCTTCTATTCATCATGGATTATAATACAGAATAGATTTCATTTTATGTATTTTTGACAGAAAAAAGGGAGTGTATGAATTGTGGAAAAGGTTGACAAACATGGTGATGAGTACACTTGTTGTTCTACATGTGTTGATGTAATTTGTTCATGTAGTTAGCTGCTGTATCCAATGTAGTCTATCTTTATTCTTATAATCTTTTCAAAGATGAAACTGAAAAACTCTGCTTGAAACCTACTGAAGAACCTAGAGTTCCTCGGTTCACTATGATTGCACTTACATATAAACTGTGTAAAGCCAAACCCAGCTCCTAGCACCATCTTATGCAATATTGCAGTGATTATTACTTTTTATGGATTCTCGTTAGTTCTTGTTTTAGGAGATCATGCTGTTTTCCGATCTTCTGTCCCAGGTAGCATTTGCAAAAAAAGCATTAAAAGATCCAGAGCTGAGAATGGCCCACCATGTACATAAAATGTCATCACTATTGGGAGGCGTTCTTTTCATTGCAGATGATGTCTTCCCAAATATTCCTTTCCTTCATGCTGGTTGGCATCTTGCAGCTGCTATTGGTGTTGGCACTGTAACAAG